TAAGGAAATGTGAGAGGTGAAATTTTCAGAAAAATCATGCTTTGCGTTTTCCAGAAACGTCTAACCTACCATCGACCGTGATTCACGCTGTATATTTGGAACACAGTAACACTAAATCAAAATTATTTATTTCTAGCCTAATGATGGATCCATATCTTCTGACTACGGTGATGATACAGAAATAATGATGGATGAACTCCTGATGACTCCACCCATCAGCGGCGCCATAATGAGAGGTTTACTACCCAGAAGAACTTTGGAACCACTCATTGAAGAGGAATGTTCAGAGTCTTCTTCGACATCTTCCATCGACTCAACTACGGATCCATCTGTTTCTCCTGAACAGGTAGGTAAGAATAACTTTCAACAGTCTACAAGTACGCCCGTGCGAAAAAACAGCATTGTTGTTTGTGCACCAAACAGCTCTTTATATGTTAAATTTTCTATTTTCACATATTTTGGCAGATTCAATATTATTATGTACTCGTAAGAGTGTTATCTATGTGTTTCAGGTGGTAATCTACCAAAACAAATCCATATATCAAACGAAGATTTGAAACTTTATATAAAACAGATGAACTTCAAATTGGTGTGTCTATCAAAAAATTTCGATTGATTCTCTTACGATTTTTTATATTACTAATACAAATGTTGAAGACAAGGTACTCGAAGGAGTCCTGAAAAACTCATCCCTCTCATATTGTTCCTACTGATACTCATCATTTGAAGACGGAAGTCATTTTGAGGCTGATTCCACATCAGTTTTTGGATTGTGTCTTAGTTTCTATTCTTTGTTACTCAAACATCAACATTTTTCAGAAATTAATTTTCTTTGACACTAGTTCAACTTTTCTTATGCCTGATTTGATTACAAGAACATCCTATGGACATTCTTTGGACGTACAAATGTCCTGATGTTGAACATCATCTGAACGTCCGCCATAAACGTTATCTGCACGTCTGTCATGGACCTCTGTTGGATTATAATGCTCCATATTAGGACTACCGTTTTAGTTCAGTTGACGTTCAATGGACGTTCATGGGAAGTTCAGTGGCTTCGGCTGTACGTTAATATAAGAGTGTCAGTCAGTAGTTTATATTTTTACTTGAAAAACACAGTTACTAAAAAAATATGCCAACTGCACTAAGTAATGAATAGCTCCGAGAATCAAATTATGTTACCTATAAAGAAATTTTGCAAAACTAACACAACCGTCAACGACGTCTGCCCTCACCCGTTCACCCGCATTCGGTTCGCGTTCTCGGCGTAGCGCTTCATTGCTTAGGCACCTCTACCTCCGCGCATCGACCTCTGTCGACTTACAGTAGACGCGATGCGCAATGGCTTTTTGCATTGCGCCAAGTTAATCTTATCGTGATAACTTTTACACGAATCGTCCAAATTATAGTGTAAAAGACAAAGTTAGAGTTGAAACACTTTCCTTCATTTTGTTTGTATTCCAAACAATCGTAATAGAATCAGATGTCATTCATAGGATTTCTAACAATACCAAATATTCAGTATGTACGAATAAACTTTTTTCGTGTATTTCAATTTCAAGTATCAATTAATAACTTCCAAATAAATCCTCGTCTTCCATTGTGGGCAGGGCAACGAAACTGGAAATGCTGCTGACACATGTTCGGTTGCTGTCGGAAGCCCCATGGAGCAAACAGATCCCAACGAGATCAACGAAAGGGAGGATCACAAATTGCCTACTCCACCACCAGCTGTTATTTTGACTCCGACGGAAGTAGCGCCGAAAATCCACCGATCAGAAAGCTATCGCCATATTATCGAGGCTGCAGAAAACGAAGGAAACGAAGAACAAAACACATTTTTCTTCAGTCGATTCAGGCCAACAGCCAAGTATGTAAATATTGAGAGGGTGCCAAGGTTTAAAAGTATCAAAATGTAAGTGAGTATGAAATTTTTTTAATTCAAATTGGGAATATGATAATTCCGAAAAATATAGTTAGAACATGTTAGAAATGAAGATATATCGGGTCTTTCGTTAGGCGCTTTCTATCTTTCCAATTCTCCATGACTCTGACGTATAAATCAGGCCGAATTTTATCAATGGTACAGGTTATGTTGGCTTCGAAGACCACTGTGGTTTGTGACTTATTCGCATACACCTGCGACTCAAAAAAAAATCTAACAGGCTCAAATTGCACGATCTTGAAGGCGAGTTTACATCGCCTCCACGTGAGATGACCATGTCCTCAAATCGCTCGTGTCGTTGGTGACCAGATCATCCAATTCAGGCCGAAAGAAGTTGGTAATCAGCCCCCTATAGTGCTCGCCGTTGACAGTGATGGCCTGACCAATGTCGTTTTCAAAGAAATATGGACCGATTAAGCCGCCAGCCCAAAATGCATACCCAAACAGTGACTTTTTCTGGATGAATTGAACGTTCTTGGATTTCAAGTGAATTGGTATCTTCCCAAATTCGACATATTTTTTTCTTAACGTACTTATTCATCCAGAAATGAGCCTCATGGCTGAAGATGAATTCTCAATGAAAATTAAGGCCAGTTGCCAACTGCTCCAGAACTCATTAAACGAAAACACGTCGTCGTTTATGGTCCTTTAACATTAGTTCCTGGGTCAGCTGTATTTTATACGGATGCAGGCCCAAGTCACGATGCAAATTTCGCCAAGTTGTGGTCTGCGAAAGGGCTAGTTCTTGTGAGCGATGCGAAATCGACTGCCATGGATTCTCCTGCTCACTCTCACAGGCAGCGGCAGTGTTTCAGCAGATCTTGCGTTTTGTTGACGTATGGGTGTTGGTTGATCGTTTACTGAACCAGTGGACTTTCTCTCTGTAGGACGATTATAGCAAAAGTGAAATGGGCATAGCGGGCGATACGTTGCCCGAACACAACGACAATTGATAAAACAGTTTTATTATTTGCACGTGTTGTTAAATGCTATATGTGTCCATGGTGATTTGACAAAATAGACTGAATAAATGTTAACTTATTTGACAGATGTAGCTTCAACAAGATGGCTGTTATCAATTGTCAAAGTTCGGAAGTCCCCGTTGGAAGACCCTTCAACTATTAACTATTAGTAAAAGATATTCAATAATTCTTGAATAAACTAAGTAGGCTACAACTGGTTATAAGTATATAATATTTTGCAAAGAAAAAATGCAATGAAGTAGAATTATACTGTCTGCAAATCAATAAGGTCAATCTTTCAGAAAAAAGTTGCAGTTGCAGAATTGGTCATCATAAGGGTTTTGAACTTTCAACATTTCGGAAATTCACTTTCTGTACTTAGTATCTCCACATTAATCTGAACACAGGGATACTTCTCTGTTGAGTTGAACAAAGTTTGAAGTGTTATTATTATGTAAAAAGTAAGTGGAATCAAGACTTCCCTATGAATCAACAGAATACAATTCTGAATTATGTCTATAATGAAAGGTACTATCATTCTAATTTTTTTTTCACCTTCAGTATATTCATTTTTTCATTCAACAGAAATATATTTCAATGACAACACTTCTCTATTTCGAAATATATTTTGAAAACGAATGGAAAAGATTAGATGGCTTTGTTATGAACTTGGCTGATACACCGGTAATGTTTTATTTGGGGCTTATGGCATGAATGTCCCATAGTTGGGTTTCAAAAAATTTTTGAAAAAAAATCGAAAAAAAATGTTCTCATATAGTGAATAACGTTGACAGTATTTCCAATTTTGACAAGCGTTTCGACAACTATTTTTAATTTCGAGTTTCCACACTGCAATATTTCCAAAATTCCATCGGCTGAGATCGGATAAAAAGTAGCGACTGGAAGAGGAATCAATCTCAAAATTTCGATTTCAAACTCACAATTTCAATATTGAATTCGTATAAAATCGACAAGAATAGTTACTGTGGCTTCAGAGTCACAATTTCGACTGCATCTTCATCTTGAAGATGATTACTTGGTGATCGAAACATGTGCCGAGGTGGTAAATAAACTGTTTGGGGTTGAGATAAAACTCCAGTATGACTGGAATCTCATGTTTTCAATTTTATAAATTTCGACATTGAATTCATAGTTTCTACTTTACATTAAAATTTTTACTACAACGTCGTATAATCGCGCGTTTATACTCGTGAGTTCTGCGCTAAAGATGAAATTTCTACTTTAAACTCAAAATTTCAACTTTGAACTGGTAATTTTCGCTTCCAAACTGTTTATGATGTAGTGGATGAATTTATTGGAACTGAAAGATTATATTATTCTATTTTCAGTTTTATTTTATTTTCCATACAGACTCAACAGCCCAATTACGTGGAAATTCTTATCACAAATTAATTGTGTGAGCTAACTTCTATACATATACACTGAAAGATTCATTTTCTATGATCAAAATCATACTTCTTTGCATGATCTACACATTCATGTATAGAGTTTCAAATTGATTACTTCCTTCCTTTTTTGGAAGATTCTCTCATCCCTTTTTTTTGTATCAGATGGAGTAGTAGAAAGCCAAAAACTTTCTTAAAAGGGTAGCTTGTAATATCTTCCAAAGTACGATGGATGTGGTCCACAGTTGTTGCCAGAGCAGATGTATGTCAACCCCAGCAAAACTGTGGATAATTCAACGCCACTTTTCCTCAATGGTGTCATTCCCTTCCATTTGGAACGGAGGTGGAATATCTTGGCATTGTCCTTGATAAAATACTCACATGGAACGCTCACTTGGAAAAAGTTTCACAATAATCCAGACTGTCCTTATGGACATTTCGAAGGATTTGTGGTGAAACTTGGTGATCAGGTCCCGAACAAATCAATTGGCTTTATGTGATGGTTATCAGACCAATGATCACTTATAGGGCGATTGCCTGATGACCGAAGGCTTTACAGAAAACGGCCCTGGAGAAGCTCTCTGACTTACAGTGACAGGCTTGTCTGGCTATCTGTGATGCCATCAGTTCCACAACGTCAGCGGCCATGGGGATCCTTCCTGATCTACCTCCTCTCGACATATTTCTAAAAAGAGAGACTAGATGGACTGCATATTGACATGGGCACCTCGCCAATTGCAGAAATCAATCTATTGCAGAGTACAGTTGACTACTGGTTGACACTATAAGTCACAACATTCTGGAAATGACCTCTGACATTATGCCTCCAACTGTCAACTACGAACTGCCTCATAACGGGTGATTTTTTAAGAGGTATAAGATTTGATTTTCAAAACAACACAAAAAATTTGAAAATATTGATGAAATCTTTATTGGAATCGATATAACGATCAATATAGTTTAATGTTTGAAGATGATTTCATGCAAATGTTGTCCTTGGCTCTGCTTTAGATGGCCCATGCGCAATGTCCAATTTTGACACACTCTCTCTAACATATCGACCGGTATTTCACGTATAAATGCTTCAACATTGGCTTCCAGAGCGTCAGTCGTTGCTGGTTTATCCATGTAGACATGAACCTTGACATAACCCCACGAGAAATAATCCAAGGGCGTTAAATTGTGTAGAGGTAGACCTCGTGTAGTAAGAACTCCTGAAATTGAGGAAGCGGTGCTGCAAGAAATTGAGGAACATCCTGAGACGATTTTGAGGAAGATCGCTAGAACTCTGGATATTTGTCATCAAATTGTTTGGCGTATTTTGGTTGATTTTTTGTTATACCCATACCATATTTCAAGAGTGCAGGCATTACTCCCCAGAGATTTTCCNGGACATACGTCCATAGGAAGTTTTTTTCTTAAAATGGGTCTAAGAATTACCTCCTTGAATATTAGCATGTGTTTAAGGAACACCCTGTATAGCCATTATAATATTAGTCGCAATTTTTTTTCATTTGTTGGCTACTGTTATTTTCCATGGATACCACCAGGTTTAATTTTCGTCCTTTTGATTCTCTATGTAATACGTCACAGTTTTATGTCGTGGTTATTTTCCAAAATAAAATTGTAAATAAACAATTCTATAAGGCATAAACATCCTCGAAATATCGAGTCAAAGCATCGCCAGGACCTCTCGAAACCCCAAGTACCTCTTGAAGCGATACAGAGTGTTGGCACCGCACCGACCTGACATTCTGCCATCTCAACCGCAATGAAACAATTGAACAAAGCAAACGACAAGTGTACTAGAAAATTACGAGCGTACCAACTGTTACATATTCTCATATTTTAAAAGGAGCTCCTCGTTCAAGTTGAGAGTTGGAAGGGAGTGAAGCGAACGAGCTATGTATTGACGTTGCAAATAAATAAATTGCTGTAAATCGCTTTTGTATGTTGGTATTGTGTTATTCTGATTGAGATTTTCAAAGGGATCACCGGAACGCCTTCCAGGCTTTTGAACCGGCTCTCGTAGGCCCCGGAAATGCCAGGATTTTCGCAGATGGTCGATGGGTTTATTGTCGAGAGTAATTAATGGTGATATATACGAGTTAAAAGTATCAAAGTGTCTTATTTGTGTTTCGCATTGTTTTTTGGGTGTATGAACTCCCACATCCTAAGAAATAAACAGAGATGAATTCCAAAACAGAAAAGGATTATTTTGCATCCATGGATGGTAGAATAACTTCCGTTACTTTAGAAACGCAAGTTCAAGGATCTTTAAAGCTGAAAGAAACATCTAGCCGGGTGAAATTTCGGAAATAGTCTTGAAGATCCTTCCATTCATCTGCTCTGTAATGTAAAACTTTGCGCGGATTGGATTGTTCCCCAACATTAATCGGTAATTCACTCAATACTGGTCAGAAGATCCCAAAAATAACACAGTTATCATGCCTCAGCCGCAGTATTGAACAAATTTGGATGCCTATGCCTTTTATCTGTTACCAAAATGGGCTTGTTTCATGCTATGGAAAATGATACTGGTTTGCTTATAGACTGATCGAGCTAAGGGTATATTATACTTATCAAGCCTAATCGGTTCCAAAATC